CGTCTCAATCATAACCCGCGCCCCATCTAGCTTCTTAATGGACAGTGTCTGGCTCCCGTCCGGTAGCTCTATCGTCACCGCATGCACATAGCTCAACCACGTCCGCCCCAAGAGCAGGTCAGAGCTGCAGTTCTTGACTGCAAAGACTGGCAGGGTCACTCGTACCCCTTGGACCTCTATGGCTGCCTTGTGACAAACCCTTGTGATCAATTGCTTTCTCCCGTCAGCCGTCTCTATCTCGAATAGGTATGACCTATCGAGTCCCAGTCGAACTTGCTCTGTCAGATCCTCGTCTATAATGACAGCCTCACTGTCGTTATCGATCACAGCATCTAGAACCGCTCCGTCGTTTAGGATCGCCTCCACGGTCCCACTTCCAAGTATGTAAAACTTGTCTGGAGGCACGCCTTCCATCCCATCAAGAAGAACTGTCGCCATGCGATCTGCTCTCRCTATCACCTCTGATACTGCTACAGTAGGAGCATCCGCCTTAGGGGCCACCTGAACCTCCTCCGATAGAGGTATGCGAGTCTTCCGCGTGATCATCTGTAACTCGTCACGTGCCGGCTTGGATGATGCCGGATATTCCAGAATAGAGCACTGCATGGGCTGCCGAAGGGCCCGTCTCAGTGGCTCGACCGTGTCAATACCATCCAGCGAACTCTTCATCAAGAACTTCTTCACTCCCCGCTTTCGCAATGAAAGAATAACCTCCTCTCCATCGATCCGTTGTCCGTCCTTCTCTGTCATCACGTAATCCGTATCGGTCTTCCTCGATGAAGACCCCCTCGCCGACTTGGTAGCAGCCACTCTTATGGGTGTGGTTGCCATATCTCCTTCGAAAGTTATCTTGATGCTCTGGCTCCTATCCGGCTCCTTTCCCTTACTCGCTTTTACTCTCCTTGTTTCTACATTCTCCTTCATCGAAGGGAACATTGATACGTCTCCCAGATCATCTGCCCACTTGACGTCCTTGCGGTCATCAAGCACGACAAGTCCCTCATCTATTGCCCGCTTGAGATCCGAGCAGTCTCTCTTGATATGATCATCTCCTCTACAGTAGACGCAAGAGTTCCTGGGAGTGGGTGGCCTGTCGTCTGCGCTCCTAGAGGTCGAACCCCTTGCTGCTCTGGGGTCAGGGGATTTTGGATACGGATCAGATGACGCGCCATATCCCCCTCTCTCATTCCGGCCGCGCGAATCATTGCGGCGATCTCCTCCTGATCCTCCTTGCTCATATCCTCCCCGTGAGTCATTCCGGCGGTCTCCATGGTCGTATCGCCCGCGTGACTGATCGCGTCGATCTCCTYGGTTGTACCACCCCCACGAATCGTCGTGCTGTTCTCTCGCGATTCCCCCGCGGTCATACCGTCCACGCGAGTCATCTCGTCGGTCTCTGTCTCGATCTCCTCTCTCATATCTGCCACCGCAATATCCATCTCGATCCGACCTCTCATATCTGTCGTCCCTATATCCATCTCGGTCCGATCTCTCATATCTGCCGTCCCTGTATCCSTCTCGTCGGCCYTGATCTGACTCCCACCGGCCTCGAGAGTCGCCTCTACCCCCATCAGCCTCATAATGAGGGCTACGCGAGTAATCATCYWGTCTTCTAGCTCGTCCATATGTCTCGCGAGCCCTGCGGTCCCGGTCTATCTSATCATCCATGCGTCGCCATGACTCATTGTCTCTCTCCCTTTCCCTCGCACGATAATCAGTCAGTGTTCGAGGATTTTTATCCTCGACACTCCTCCAGGAATCAGTGTTCCTACGGTCCCAGCCAAGTGAATAGGGCCCCCCGGGTTTGTCCCGGTAAGTCGTGGCTCCTGTGTTGGTCACAATCTCTGTAACCTGCCTTGTCAATCCCTTTACCATGTCCCTTATCTCCTTCACTTCCTCGGTCACGGCTTCATTCTTCTCCGACCAGGGGTAGTCATTGAAATCAGGATAACTATCAGTGGCATACTCCTTATAGAGAGAGAAGTCACGTCTCCTCATTCCCCTCCATACCAAGTCCTTGTAGTCGTCTGCCTCTGCCTTTATTGCGAACTTTAGGACATCAGGGAAGTCAAGCTTGTCGCGCGRGARATCTCTAAGTATGCTCTTTTGTCTACCTTTCGAYAGGTGTCCAATGAAGATTGCACAGCTCTCGATTTCTGAGATCTTCCCCTTCTTCATCAGCACGTCAGAGATCTTCTGGAATCGCTTCCCAAATGCCCGTACGCTCTCGTCCTCATCTTGAGTCATAGTCTCAAGGTCCTTATTGGAGTACTTGTTATCCTCTAATTTGTAAAGCTCAATGAGGTTCATCTTATACGTAATCCATTTYCCATCCTTCGGTCGGGCTTCCTTAACTTCCTTGCCGAGACTTGGATCCACATTAAATAAGAAGTTCTCTATAATCTCTTCCTCCGCCCACTGACTCCGACTAGCATGAAGCTCCCACTTCTCCAGATATTYTGTCATACCATAGCCCCTGAAAGTTGGAGGCTCAGAGGCCTTGTGCGTAATAATATAGCGATCCTTGCTCTCGTAAGGGAGCGGATGTGACTCCCCCGTCTRGGGGTAAAAGACACGCCGGGGCGGTACTATATCCCTATCTCTGTCCCTCCAATAAGAATCCCGTGAACTCTCTCTCCAGTCGTCTCTGGGCCTATCCGCCCTGGTTTCCCTCCGTTTACACTCGGGGGAGCGTTGTATCATCGCTTCTCGTCGAGCGCTCGACGTGCCAGTCTTCAAAGTCTCCTCTGACTCTGTCACGACCGGCTCGCCCATTACGTCGGGTTTTCTGTCATTGGTTAGGTCAACCCATCTCAGCGGTGCTTCCTGCCTAGTTCGTTCCTTCAGATCCCTCAGTGCTCGGTTGGGCGATGTCTTGTACTCCTCACCTGCTCCGCCCGTGGTCGGTTGTGACCCCATCGTGTCTGGTTCCATAGGCCACCAGAAGCTGTAGCTGGGCACTTACGCCAGGCGTTACAGCCCGGACCTATGATAGTTGCAGCAGCCCGGACTTGTGACAGAACTCACAGCCTGGACCTGTTTCTTTGTCACGGTTCGCGCTCGTCTCCAATCCTAGCTCTCGACTGCTCTGATTACCGCCACCAGTACTCCGTTCCGGTCGCGGACCTCATGCTCACCTTCTATCCCAAGAATCCCTGTGTCTATGTAAACCTCTCCTTCGGGATCTGCCAACAAGGTCGCGCCTCTCCTGATCTGCACTACACCCGTGACAGGATCTCTACACCTGCTGCAGATCGCAGTCCCAAGCCTAACCAATGTCTCCCGACTAGCACCCCTCAAGAGTCCTCGAGCGTCTATCTCCGTCCTCCTTACTAGATCATTCAGTCCGTCCTGAATCGTGTAGCCCGCAAACGGAGGAAACTCTCCTCCTAATGCCATCTAAAGTCGCCCCTGTGACCTCACTGACCTCCACTATCTTTCCAAGAGCTTATAATTTTTGTTCCCTCATCTGTCTAGTATCTGAGGAAAGTCAGTGCTATAGCCGCTCGTAATCTCGTCGCCGACAACTCCAATATATCATAGAACGTCTCAAAATCTTCATCATCTCCACTATCCTCTATGGCCTTTTAAGTCTTTTTCAATTCCCTCCAGTATCGGTCGTGAGCCGCTAACACCCTGAGTATCGCTCCGTCTACTACAACTCTCCCTATTCTCCCCAGCCCTCCTGGCTTCGCTTATCTTTAACCTCTCAGTCTCTCTGGGCGTCTCGTACCACACCCTCATCAGAGGTCGCCCATCGAATGGTGTCGCGCGTAGTACGTACTTTATCCTTCGTCCTCCTTCCACTCCAATCCAAAGTCTTGTTCCCCTAGCCTCTCGCAGCGCACGGCGAACACACTCTGCCTCCTCAACTATGCACAACTCGGTATGGAGCTGAACTCTGCAATCACTAACACCAACGGGCCGTCCTGTCTCCTTGCCACATGCGACGAGTACCTGCCAGCCGCACACTGYACAGTCCTGCTCATGCCCTGCTGCTATCCTCCTGCGTTACCTTGTCCTCTGTTGTTACGTCCTCTACGGACTTTCCCTTAGCTCCTCCGCGTGATAGGTTTCTTGCCTTTACCCTTTCCAGAAAGTCTGATCTCCACGCCTGGATTAACTCTTTATCTTGCCGGAAYAGACTGTCTAACTCTTTCGTCGCTAGCTCGACCCTACGCAGCTTGCCCTCATCCTGGCATGAACCGTTCTCCCTTATCTTGTTTCCCAACTCCTTTACCTGGTTCAACATTGGCTCTTTAATGCGCTTTCTCACTCTTCTCACCCCCTCATTCTCCTCTTCCATATTTTGTCCGCATTTCTTACCAGTTCATGCTCATACCCTCGCTCTAGCCTCAGCTACCGTCCCGTCGAAGTACCATTCCAACCGCAAGTAGCCCGCTGATCATACCATTACCTCATAAGCCACCTTTGTCTGGAAGGTGACGCAAGCAAGGACTCACAGCCGATACTCGTCGACGAAGTCTCTAGCTCGTCTCACACATTCGGCCTCCGTCAGACTCTCGATTATGTGTGCTCTTACTAGTACTGTGACAGTGAAACCCTCACTCACCAGCTGTCTGCTCACTTCGACTCCAGCCGATGATCCCTCTGGCATTCCTCCGCCTCCGTGAATAAATACCTCAAGTCCTCTATCCCAACGTACTTCTCCTCCACACGCCTCCTGCAYTAGTCGACCAAGTCGACTGGTCTCAGACAGTCAACCCAGCACGTCGCGTCTATGAGACCGCTCAACTCCTCGTCGTCAAAGCGCCTCCACCATAGACTGACGGCAAAGTAGATCTCCTTGAACCTCGGTGCCAACCCCAGTCCAAGGGCAAGGTGCGTATGTTTGACTRCTCGTGTTAGACTAYTAATCCCTTCGTATACCTGGTCAATCACGAACAGCGGAAGCGCCCACCTCCAATCTTGTATGGGATGAAGATCCTGCGCTGGTGAACCGAACACGATACGCARCCTCGGTTGACTATCTCCACCTAACGTTCCCGCCTTCCTCTCTAGCACTGTTCTGGYCAACGCCTCGTACCTCCATAGACTTCTTTCGAGCCCGACCAACGTAACTCCTATTTCGACCTTCTGCGCTCGATCAAAGATAAGATGTCCTATTAGCTCCACCTGCCTTCCACATCCCGGTTTCTTTACTTCTACAACCAGCGTCTAGAGAAACTCTCCTTCAGCTATCCACGTCCCGACGTATCCAAGCGCCAGCCTATGGCTATCCTCCAATCGCGCAGGAAGGGGTATATTGTACCCGAGCGTGGTCTCCCTAGGCTCTGTCAGTCTCCTCGCCCTATAGGAGCTTGAATCTTGCAATAAGACATACGCCCACCATGCACTCGAATCACTCCTCATTCCCTCTCGCCACTCRATCTGTATCACTCTACTCCCTTCGACGCACTTGATCTCACGATGTTGCTAACTCCTCAGACAACCCTTCCACTGAGGCTCAGTATGGTCGAGTAGGCGTTGTGCACTCTCCCGTTAGCTCCATGGAAGTAGATGGTATACTCGACGTATCTCTGGCCTCTCCGTATTTCCAGGGCATGCTCCGTCATGAGTCTGATTCGTCGCGCAACATCATCCATCGCCTCTTCTTCCCACCCCCCTATCCTATCTTGTCGCAAGGGAAGGGTCACTCTCAGTGTGTCTCTGTCCGCCATCCTTATCAGTGCTTACCGCAATTCCTGACTTGTCGAAAGTTATCTCCTTGTGTCTATCATCCGACGCCCCTCTATTCCGCGCTCTACACTATGCCCGGATATGCCCTATCCTTAACCGTCTCCCGCGTCTGGCATACCCTCGTCCACGTCCTCGTCTCCGTCTGCATCCACAACCCGACCTCAGGGGATATGCTCTTGTCCCTCGGCCTGAGCTAGATGCCCCCAACCGTCGCTATCCGGTCTGTCTAAATCGACTTCAAGGTTGTCTTGCCCACCGTTTGGCATGTCTCTCCACGGTCTCTCGTCCTGTCCCCAAGGCTCTGCGTCGCTGAGATGTTCCCAATCTCGATCATCAACGTCCCAGCCGAGCTCCTCTCTATCTGGATATATCCCCTGGTAATGCTTCTCCAACTTCCAGATAGAGATGAGGGAAACAGGCCTATCACCGGGAGTCTCGCTAAAGAGTCGTCCGACCCCCTCCAAACTATCTACTGGTCTCTGGACCTCCCTATCTAGTGCCAGCCAGAACTCCAAGGGCTGGCCTGGGAAAAGGAGTGTGGGTCTGTTGTAGGCGCTAGAGTACGTAAGCACTCAATAGGCTGTATCCCCCTCTCCCCAGTAAGAGGCCCGCCTACGAACTGTGCGTAGGCAATCYAGTCCCGGTCCCTCTGCCSTCGGGCTAGTCCGTCGAGCTCTAGAGCTGCGAAATATTTCTCCAYGACGCACCCCAAGCCCCAAAGTTGCTCCACTACAAAGACCGGGAACCTGGCGCACAGTCGGACTGTCGGGAAAGCAAACCCTCCTATCCAAAACGTAGTCCTCGTCTCCCTGACAGGCCCATACAAATCCTCAATCCCCTCTCGTGCACTTTCTATCTTGCCCGTCAGGATTTCTCTCACCTCTCTCTCATACCGCCAGAACCCATGCACCAAGCCCTGGATATAGACGCCACCGCTCACCTCTCGTGAGTAATAAATATGCCCTACGACCTCTATGGACGTCGTGCCGGACGCCCTCCTCCTCTGCGGATCAGACTCGTAGGTCTGAACGGTATATTACCATAGGTGCACGTCTGGCCCCAACCGAGTCGAACCCCAATGGTCAATCACCCCTGGCTCAGCGACGCATCTGGCCGGTAGATCAAGCTCCACCAAGTCGGGAGCTATGATCTCGGGCGGTCTAGGCCATCTGAAATCACCAAAGGGTAGGTCGACTCTTTCGATTTCTCTACCATCTGCCTCCAGGATCTCCTATCTCACTCCCTCACTTTACTGCCGAATCTCACCGCTAGCCTAGCTCGCACTCGCCTCGCCGCACAATCTGCCTAGGCCTTAATCGGTACTCCTATGCGTGGGAAKTGCGCGTCTTCCGTGTCGTTCTCCTCCTCCTCAACCTCACTCTTTGKGTCAACCCAATCCGGCTCCCACGCATCCTCGTCGTCCTCTCGCTCCCATCCCTCGTCCTCGAACTCGTCCTCGATGCGATATGGCGCCTGTCCTATAGCCTGGTACGCCAACTGATAGTCGTGTATCAGAGGTCGCCCAACGTCCTCACTCCACCAGCTAACCCAGTCATCTGAGAAGAGTCTCCCGATACAGGTCGCGTACTCGGGGCCTGCTCGGAGCTCACGGTCCAGCCAATCCCAAACGCACGGAGACTGGGGCCACTTGTCGTCTATCGAACGGATCAGCTCTATAAGCAACCCTAAAACCCTAGATAAAACTTCTCCTAACTAGGGTTTCCCCTAATAAGGATTTAACTAACTAGGGTTTTTGAGCTTTGCGCGCAACCGCACGCTCTCTTCCAGCACTCGCACTGTTCCAAAATTTTTCCGTCAACTCCCCTCGATATTTGCAAAAACTTTGACCGATTACTTTCTCTTAATCCTTTTCTTTCTATTTTACACAAAATTTTGAAAAAAATAAATATTCTATTTTTATTTTTAATTATTTTCTTCGTTGTTACTGGCTGTTTTTACTTCTAACTAAGTCCGTTCGCCCCGTCCATGGTATCAAAATGACGGGAAAAATAATCTGAACATCTTTGGTCCAAGAAGTTCTCTCTAAAAAATGGACCAAATTCCCGAAAAAAATAAATAAAAAAAAATTGAAAATTGAAAATTAATAAATAAAAAATTAAATCAAATTGATTTCCTCAAAATCCGACCGTTAGGATTTTTCGGGAAACGTGTCAGAAARTTCGTCTCGTCGTGAGGACGAACTTTGTTCTCTGACGAAGTTTGCGTGAAATTGCGCGGATAAGGAGATATTTGAGAAAAACAAAATTCAAAATTAWTAAAAATCAATAAAAAATCAACTAATCAAGGTATTCGGATCTAACTAACTCCCTGCTAATTAGCCAGGGCACCCCCATTGTTCGGGGAAGGCCGCGGCCTCGGGGGTGCAGTTCCCCTCCCCGGCAATGGCGCCAAAGTTGTGAGGAAATTCAGGGASGGGCACCTACTGTTCGCCGAAGCCAAGGGCAACGGCGTCTGTCACCCGCCGCGCCCGCTTCCAAGGTGCTCGGCGACCAGCAGGGTTCAAGATTTGACCGTACGCTTATGTACCCTGTTTCAACTTTCCCCTATTTTTCGTATCCCTAYAAGCACACGCAACACCAGCATTCGGATGGTCAACCGTCTGACCAGCAAGCTCGACCGACAGGAAGTTTGGACAGCCAATGAGCTGATTTGTATACTCATGCTCGAACAGGTTTGGTAACTCGATCGTCAGATCACGTAAGTTTGTTCTGCAGTTAGCAAAAAAAACAAAACCCAACGGTGAGCAGCTCGCCCCGCAGCGAGCTCGGATGCTCATATAACAGATTAGGAAATCTCTCTCTACGATAAGCTCGGGCAATCAGGCAACAAGATCCCACAACTGGTTAGTTCAAATTTTCCTTCGCTGAGAACAACGAATTGGCGTCGAGGTTCGTCAGCTCTCCGTTGATTGGGCTAGTCCAAACAGTTGCAATTATGACAATTAGACAAAGTCGTGAGGCACCTGATCTTCTCAGTCAACTGTAGGATAAACAAGTTCACGCGTCGTTAAGCGTTGCTGTTCCCCTTGGTGATGTCATACTGGCCTCTATTCGTCTCCCCTCCATCTTCATCTCTCTTTCCCGGTTCTCCTCCCCTCTCACTCTCGCCCATTCACCCTTTCTCTCTCTCTTGCTGTTCTTCCCTTCTCTCTCTCACCGTTCCCCCCCCTCTTTCTTTTTTATGTCTTTCTATCTTTTGGACAGCAGCCTACTCAAACAGTCCACAATGGTTGGAGAGTTTTCACAACGGCTTGTTACCTGGGACTACCGTCGGTCCATGCTATGCGCACAGCGATAGGCTTGAACAGTTAGCAGTCMAGTCAGGAAATTWGACAGCACCTCGTTCGCACATTCAACCRTCATYGCACCCAGGATATKMGAGTTTGGAGTGCATGCAGTTGAATAACCTTATCTATCGTCACAAAATTAGAAATCACGTCCCACGAGACAACACCTTCCCAAAGCCAAAAACAACAAACTGTATGCGGTGAAATAACGCCCCCACATAAATCAGAGCCTGAAAAACTGCGTGCCCCCAAAAAGTTACTTCACACTTMTCTTAAAACAAGGGCGGAGAACAGCTCGTAGAGCGACTCTGCGCGSACAGTCCAACCTCGCGTCTCACTCACTCTCTTTGTCGTTCGTTGTTTGCTCTCCCTCACTTTCTCACTTACTCCTCTCCCTCTCTCGCATCCTCTCTTCTTTGCTGCTCTCTCTCACTCTCTCTCCTCTTTTGCGCAGTCCATTCTCACTGCGCGACCTTGCTCACCTCCTCCTTCCTCCCCGTTCCCCTGATTCAGTTCGGCCCGTCCCCCAAGCGGTCACATATGTCCCCCCCCCCTGCTCGCCTSRCCGACTCAACAGTGAGCTCTGGCGGGGCACGTGTGCACGCTTCCAATCCCTCACCAACTAACTTTTCCCGACTCGCGTTGCGCACACCGTGCACGCACCGAATGYCCTCCCCCTCTTCCTGTCGGCCCCTCTGCCTTCTTCTATATTCCTTGCTTCCCCTGTATTTGCRACGTGACCGAATKTGCTGCGCGGCCGCCCTTGATCCCCTTCAACCGCCCGGCAGCTGCGCACAAGGCGGCCACAGACCCTTGTCCCGCCTGCATCTCGCCCCGATCCGGGACGGGCACTCCGGCTCTTTGCCCCTTTCGTATGCCTGGGGCGTCTGCAGTCCAAAGGCATCCCTGTSGAGGCACAGTGAATTGAGATCGGGTCGCAAAAATCTGAGATGGCTTGAATCATCAACCTAGTAGCAGTACCGCGGCCAACCCCCGCATAGCAAATACGYGGGCCCGACACGGTAATCGAGTCATCCCATAGCCTCCTGTGCCAGGTCCGCGACGTTGACAGGTCGCACGTGGCGTCTCAGGGTCATACCGAGAAATCTAAATCAGTTGTTGTGCCGGTACTGGAGCCGAGCCGAAACAGCGTGTCGTGGGCAGTATTAGCTAGGAATTATGTCGAAGACCGTAAAAAAAAACTCAACCCARCATCAATTCGGAACCGAAAAATGTAGCGAACGAGAGACGTGTAGTGGAGTGCGTCAAACCGACACYGCACATCGAAGCCGAGATATGCAGTGGAGTATACCGGACCGATGCCGAATAYCGGGGTAGCCCGAACCCTGTCACTCCGTTGCAGAACRCGAACCCWGCCTAAAAATGATGYGTGTCGCGTGCTTCAATCAKTCTCTAACCTGGCCAGTCACCGCCGAGCCTGACACAAATTTCCGCTAAGGTTCCGAACCTGGAATACACTGACATAGTAGTTCAAGTCCTGAAAGTAAACCACAGTGATGGTTCCGAACCTGATAATAAATCACGGCAGTCATTACAAACCTGTAATAAACCACYGTGGTGGTTCCGGGYYTGAAAATAAATCACCACAGCGTCCCCAAGCCTGAWACAAACTGACGCCGAGCCCATACCGAACCAGAAACACGTCGGATACCGAAGGATGCAGCCGCTCCGCATCACAACCGAACCTCTCTGAACCACGCGTCCGTAGCGAGCCAAATACAGAGGCCATACTGTCGGTCCAAATAGC